TTTTAGTAAAATTGATAAAATTTAAAGAAAATAGATGAAAATTTTAAACAAATATTTATACATAAAGGAAGTGGCTGTGTTGAACTCTTAGAAATTCTCAAGATTGTGAGAATTTCCTCTTCTGTAAAACATAAACAAATAATTATTAAATAATTATTTGTTGATAATCATCATGTGAAATCATGCAAATGATCAGCAAAATTTGCAATACTATTACGCAATTGATTGATAAATTACAACCCCATAAAATAATTTAGAATGAAATAGAATATTTTAGAAATTTACTGGAGTTCATTCTTAAAAAGGAGAAATACTGTTATAGGAAGATATTGATCTAAAAGATCATGTGACACACATAACTAAAAGGTATATTGACTGCATCACGTTAGATGATGAAGACGGTGAAGATGAAAGAAATGAATTAAATAAAGGTTACGTAAAAAACCCAGAAGTCATCAGAAAATTCTATTATATTATTAATCATTTTGTATTATTAATTATTTATTATTTATTTATAATTAATTAGTATTTTATTTATTTATATTAGCAAATTTAGTATAAATAGAATAGCTTTAGGATTTGGTTAAGGCAAACAATATTAGATAGCAATAGATAGTAGTAGATAACAAGAGATAATAATTTATAAACAATTGGAACTCAATTAGTTTTTATCACCAACAAGATAAATACTAATAACAATTATATGTTAACAAATATAATTGTAGTGAATTTCTTATCCTTTAATAAAATTCTAAAAGTTTATTTTAAATATACACTATTATTTGAAGTAATAATTATTTGTAAACCTTTCAGAGCTCTTCCTAGAGTATCAAATAAAAGCTAAATCCCTTTGTTAATTTTGCGTTAATACTAATTTTCAGTCATTAGTATCGTAAGATAATAGTATATAATAAAATTAATAAAGTACTTTATCTAAATAAGAATAGTAAATATTATAAAACATAAATATAGCTCACAGACATTAAATTTATTCAGAACAGAGTTAAGCCTATCTGAATTTCCTTTGCAACCTATTGCTTTCATTAGTATTTTAAATACTTTATATAGATCTTGACCTTTCAGAAGTATCAGAAAGAGGGATAGGAATTTCACTTTGCAATATTCAATTTATTTGTACTTCTTCACGTTATTTTCATACACCTAAATTTTTAATTATATTTTAAATTTTTATTGTATTATTAGGAAAGAAAGTAGTTTTAAAAATAATGTGCTTAAGACTTTATTTATACCCTTTTAAATATCAGATGTATCATATGCATCAAATGTCTAATGCCAGCCCAGATATCCTAAGATATTATAAACATGCATAAGAAAATTAAACCTATCAGCTACTTGTGAATATGCATTTTGCTCTGCTTTATTTTTTCTTATCAAATTTTAAAAAACAAGGAAAGCTTTCAATATGCCTAATGAACTCTATCAACTACAACTTGGTTAAGTACGAAAGGTAACTGCAATAGACTTGTGAACTATTAGAAGCTAAAACTAATGAGTCATCTTTTGAATGGTTAGCCTGGAGTGAAGGTTGTATATTATATCAAGTTATGAAGTGGTGGTAAAGCACAGAAAGTAATTGTAACAAACTTATAAACTATCAGAAGCTAAAACTAACAAGTTATCTTTGAATAGCCAACTTGATGTGACATCCACCAGTTTTTTTTATGGTTCTTATAAAATATCTTATTACATTAAACTAACTTTTTCATTATTATTTTTTTTTCTGAACATTTTAATGAAAAGTTTTACAATAGAGTTAGAATATATTAGCATAAATGAGATCTTTGAATTTTTCATTTGACTTATATTATAATAATAATATATAAGTGAGTAAGGAAGTACTATAAGAATATTACTTATCTAATACTTTTATAGTGTTAAAGGTAACTGTACAAGCAAAATCATATGAAATTCGATAAAAATGAAGGCATTTTTCAACTTAAAGTCAAGAATCATAAAGGATTTTTGAGAATGCATAGCACATTACTAGCATCAATGAAATCACTCATTATGAATTTATTTTCTACATCATTTATGGTATCATATTAAACATTAGTAGTAAGGTGAAATTCTATCTCCAAATATGAAATTTCTGGAAGTCATGGCAAATGACCTGTTGATTAATAAAGATGAAAAATACTATCATTACAGTTATCGAAGCAAAGAATATAAGATACTAATCAAAGATATTACATAGAATGCAAACATCTATTCAGCATAATTCTAAAAAATGAACTTGTAATATGACAGGTTTGCGTGAAGATGTAATGTATCAGATTGTATCAACTACTATGAATTGGATAATAATTAAGCTAATTCTGATAATAATAGTGAAAGAAAGGTTAAGTTATTTATCATCCTTACCATTACCAGTTAATAACCTTGCTTTAACTTATTAGAACTAAGTAAAGCCTTTTAAAAACTTGTTTAGGTAAATTAAGTGGGTATTTGATAATCAGATTGAATTCCAAGAATCATTGAAGTAGATAAAATAGAAAATAGGGTAGATAGTTACCAATTAACTTCACTAACCTGAAAAAAGGTAACACATTAAAGGTATAATATAATATTAGCATAAAAATAGTTACTAAAGATAACAATTCTGTTATGTATTATAGTAAAAGTTCTGAAGTTTTGTATTTATCTTTTAATTCTGTATTAATAAAATACTTGACAATTTTTTTCTTAGTAAAAGTAATTTACATTCCAATTAAAACGGATATAATGACTTTTATTTTAAATACTTGTATAAAAAGTGTTATCAAAAATGAAATCTAAGATTGATTTACTTAGGTAAGAAAATTCTAGACTTGTGATTAAGAATTATGAGCTTGAGGTAGAGATCGCGAAGCTGAGGCAGATTATTAAGGAGAATACTAGACTTGACACTAAAGGAGAAGAATTTAAGCAAAAAATATAGAGCTTGAGACCAGATTTGTGATATTGGAAAAGGATTCTTTGGTAGTGAATGATCAGCTACATAAAGAAGTAATACTAAAGGCATTTGTATAACAAATTGTATCAGATGTTGATTTACTCAGCTCTGTGATAGATTAGTGAAATAATGATGATATCAAGACATTGGAAGAAAAGGAGATAGATACTTTCCTGGTTTAAATAAATAAAAAAAGCATTAGTAATAAAATTAGAGAAAAGAGGTGAAAAAAAAGGTTTAGGATAAAATGATTACCAAAGATTTATTTTTCATTACTTCAGATTTGATTTAATGTAAGAAGGACTTCTCTATAATTAGTACTGAATTTGTAATTCTTTCAGAATAAGTAATCAAAGAATCAATTCCAACCTATAAGGTACTTTCAGTAAAGAAACTATTTACTAGAATATCACTAGTAAAATCATCTTTAATAGGCAAACAAATCACTTCAACTCTTAATTCATATGAGAATGTAAATATTATATGCCAAAAAATTCCTTATAATCAAAAAGTAGAACAAGATTTAAAACGGGAGTTATCCTCTTACACTAAAGGCGATGAAGGTAAAATTAATAAGACATTTGATATTCAGATTCCTAAACTTTATTTAAAAGCAATTCTGACGAGATCTAGTAAAATTACTGCACAAAATATAGTTTATTTATTTAAAATAGTAATGAAATTTAGATATAAGAAGATTTTATACTAGTATTGTTACTATAAAACATATGAGAAACAAGTCAAAGATTTCAAGTCTAGAATGTTGTTAATAACAAATTAGTAAGAATGTTAGTGTGTGGTGAAATCAAACCCCTTCTTTCTGACATTACTGATATAAATTTATGTAAAATAACTTTTAAATCTAAAAAATTCTATATACTATTTAATGGAATAGAAATAAATAAAATCTAAATAATTAACTATAGTGAGATCTAGAATATTATAAATGATTTTTCCAAAAAGCTACCAATACAGATAATATAGATTATGAAGATTTTGTTTTAAATTGAAATGGACACATGTTTCAAAAACTAATAAAACTTATATATCAAAAGTGTAAGCATAATGGTAATTGCAACTCAACTAATTCAATTTATGATTGATCCTATTTCTGTAATAAAACATTAGATCAATATTCAAATTTATATAGAGAATTCAGTAATGAAAATTTTAATTATTATGAAGTTACTGACAAAACATCATGCCTATTATGTAAGTTAAAGCATGATGATGAGAAAAGCATAGAAGGTATATATAAAGCTGAATCTTATTTTATTAAATGTGAACAGCATAAAATTGAAATAGTTGTATAGTCTGATCACTTTGTAACTATATTTGCTAACTGATGCTTTATTATTTAATTTTTTACATGTTAATTGTTACCTATTAGATTGATTTGCAATTATAGAAAAAGATAACATGATCATATCTGATAAAATATTAACTTTTAAATATCTGAATTGGCATTAGTTTATAAATAAATAACTTTAGATTTTTTTATTATATAATTAAAAATAAAAATTACTATAATATAATATATATTTAATAAAATTAATTTATTAAAATTTTAATTTTTTATAAAAGTAAATCAAAAAAGAATTATAGTAAATAAGCAGGTAAATTTGCTGCAAATTCTTATAATCTAAGAAATAAAGATCATTAATAATAATTATTATAATAAATATATATAAAAAATAATAATATATTATTAAAGAAAATTTTATAATATAAATTACTTATTTACTTTATAAAAAATTATATAAAAAACTTTTAAATATATTGTATATATATTAACATTAAATATAAAATATTATAAAAATTAATTAAAATTTAAAATAAAGTTTAAACATCTAAGGTTTACTAACACTTTTCAAAAAATTATTTAAATATTATATGTAATAAGTTTTGAAATAAGAATTCATCAATAGGAAATCAATTACAGTATATAAATAAATATTTTATTATCAACCAGGCTATTAAAACTATATATTTCATTAGCCATTTAATATATACGATATTGATGACATAACAATTCGCGTAAAAATTCTTAAAATTCTATATGTTCCAATCTCATGTAATATCCATCATCATCTTTGGGTAAAAGCATTGAAGACAATTCCACGCCTTTAACACAATGAGTTCCAAAATCAAAGTCTATTATTAAATGCAAATTGAAAATTCAATATACTATAAGAATTACAAAAGGTTGAACAAAACTAAATCTTTACCCCTAAAATGTTCGTAAATCTCAGGTGGAATGCGATTAACAACTTCTTTTTTTCCATCTTTGTGTTTAATTATCATCCGTTTTCTCAACTTCACAAGTGTCGCGTGAGGTATAAATTCTTTCTTTAAATCATTATCCACAAGACCTTCTTGTTGAAATCTTTCATAAAGAGCATAAGTTAATTTCGTTAATGATAACAAATCATCGCTATTCTTTGGTATAGTGTAGACTACGCGACCTCGATCAAATATGTCTGTTTTGTGTAACCAAAAATAATCAAATACAACAAATAAAGCTAAATGTTAACAGTTAGGATGAATGTAATACCGATTCCTTGAAAATGTAGGGATAGCTTGCCATTTGGACAAGATTCATTCATAATCTAGGATCAAAAATTACGTTATTAAAACTTGTTATTTTAAAATCATAACTTTACACTAAAGGAATACCAACTTCTTTACTATTTAATAGACAATTCTTTGCATTTTCGATATTATCATCATTTCCTAGATGAAGTACAAAGAGTGTGATATGTATCTAAAAAATTCAAGACATATATCAGCAACAAAACAACAACATTCAAAGAGTAATTAAAAATGAAATTGTTACCTGTTGAGGCTTTATAAGTAATTTTTTATATTCCGGGAATTTGTTTGTTACATAATTAGAAAATTCGTTAAAACTTTTTTGTATAATTTGTGAATCAAGTCGAACAGATAAAAAATAATTGGGTTTCGATTTTGTTAATTTGACACTGGCTGACTATATTGAAAATAAAACGGAATTAAAAACGTAATTTTTAAAAGACACATGATAACTTAATATAACGATAACGTACCTTTGCTAGAATTGAAGCAGCTTTAATCGTACCGATTTTTCCAACCATATTATCATCGCTATTGGTATTTATAGATTCGTTGTCTTTTGCTTGTTTTGACCTTTTAAGTTTTTCATAAGTATGTTTACGTTTACGTTTACCTTTACCTTTACCTTGACCAATTATTGAAAGTTGCTGACTTTCGGGTCCTGAACTAAAAATATCACTTGCGATAAGAGCCAAAGGATTTTCCTCCTCAATATAACTATTTTCATTAGATTTGTAATTTTTAGAATTATTAAGTTCTGTAGTGGATTCTTCCATTTACTAATTCTGTGTGTTACATCATCCAATTCCCGCATTTTATATTAGCAAACTTATCCAATTTATTTATACTTTTTTGTTTTAAAGGAATAATAAATACATGATTTTTTTAGAGGAAACGAAGGAATGAACAAATTTTCTGCGAATTATTTGTCTCAATGTGAATAATAATAAAAAAGCTCCAACCTTTAATTAGATGAAAAAAAAAGATTCAAATTATCGCTAGCATAGATATTAGATGAGAGGAAGTATTTAACGTAAATGCATAATCTTTAATTGCCAGAATTAAAGTATTATAGGTGAAAAATAGATAGGTTTTATAATCCTGATTAATAAATTGGTGAAATCACAATTATTAAAATTCAAATATTTGAAAGTTAAATAAGGGTTTGTTAATTTACTTTCGAACGCGATTTTTTTTTTGTATGACAAAATCAAAACTTGAACTTTTGACTGTCAAAGTTCGAAATCAATAAATAAGTGATTCTACACGCGTTCTTTTTTTGAATTAAATAAAAAAGTACAGTCTTAAAGTTATTCAATATTATTTTTGTTGAATGCTTTAAAATATTCGTTTATTATTTGAAGTCCCTAAATACATAAATTTTTTTTCTGTAATCAAAAATAAGAATCGAAATCGTTTTCAATTTTCGGTTCGACCAAATATGGGACCTTGGCAATAGAAAGGGCAATTTTAACTTTTATAACAAGTATGCGAAATATGTTCAGATATTTAAAAGTTAATATTTTATCAGATATGATC